ATCCCCTCCACAACCCACCCCCCAAAAAGATGCAACTGAAGCAGTAAAGCACTTTTACATATTCCACTTTCTGCACTAAACATAACCCTATTGAATACAAAGACTAAAGTCTGGAAGTTTGAGAAACAATGGCAATACAAGCGGGAAGGGGAGAGGAGGGGTCCTGGGGCAAAATCTACTCAGCAGAGTTTGCCTAAACACAGCTACCCACTGTTACAGGCTGTGGTGCATTGTCTACCATTATAATCGACTGAAAGACAAAGAAACATCTGCCTTCCAGCGTCTACTATACTCAATAGTTAGAGCCAATAGGCCAAGTTTACACTCAGCCTTAGCAAGTGATTGCTCATTAATGTCACTATTAATAAAGTTCAGCATTATACAACTTAACCACATCTAATGAATGTCAATACTCATTCAACATGCTCTGTCACTTAATCTGCAGTGAAGCCAAGACATTAGGTTTAAATATCTATCTAAATATAGGACCGATACAAACTCACTAATTGAATGCTCCCTAATAGAACGTTAAACAACTTTTGGAGTAAAACTGTACTAATCATAAAATGCCCCCAATTCTATAAGATGTGTATTTTTTTTCTTTTACTTTCTAAAACATCATGGTCCCCTCCCCCAAATAATAATAAAAAAACAAAAAAAACAAGAAATAAAAAACAGTTAGTGCTCAAAGCCACAACCAGATCACAACAGCTGCTGTAAACCGCCTCCTTTCCACAGGAATAAGCCTATTAGTGTTCTGTTTTTTATAACCAGATGGCCATGTCATGGTAATTAGGAAGCTTTTTAGCCTCTTTATTATAAATTAAAACATACGGAGTAGTCATCGGATTCTTCAGAGTTTCTTTAAAAACATTTTTTTTTGTTTCATTTGTCTCAAATCTGCAGTCAGGTGATATGCAAGTGATTCAACGCACCTTGGGCCAAAAAGAGAAGGAAAATGTCCTCTCACGAAGCATGTGAAGTCCAGATGGATCACCATCCTCCAGGTAGAACCCATCCCGAGTTTCATCCCTTGCTGTGCTCAAAGAAGCATTGCTTTCTTCATCAAAGTTCTTATCTTGAGAGGCTATACCAACTGCATTGAGGAAAAAATATGAATAAAATACAGTCACAGTGAATCTTTAGCATTTATTTTTTAATCTAGGAACTATTTCACAACTATTGGAAATTTGTTACATCAGGGGTTATTTTTGAGTCAGGCCTCTCTATCAATACAGGAATGAATCCACTGATCTACATGCATGTAATAAAGAAGGGATTGTCAAACTATACCAACATGGGTTGGTATGATCGATCACGGTATTATTACATATCCAAGCATATTGATATAAATCAGCTCCTTACATGGTGGGGTGAGGGCTGTGTCTACCACATTGTATACAAGTACCTGATACTGAAGTATAACTACATATTAAGAACATTTGCAAAGTGCCAACTTATTGTGCAGTGTGTATTCCCCTACCCCGTGTATCTATAGGAGTCTATGAATTTATACAGGTCCCATCTCAATCGAATCAACACTCACCCACACATATAGGTTTGCCTGCATTCTAAGGCACATGCTGATGTCACACATCCAAATGGTATGTATGCCTACATGTACATACACACAGATACGATGTCACAGCTACACGTTACATGCAGACAGGTGGTCATTTGCATATTGTCTATGTAAGTTTATGCATTTGTGCGTGGGCAATGCCAATGTGAGTGCATGTGTTTGTCTATCATGCTACAGAGTATCTGTGCGCATTTCCTCTGTACGGAGAGTAAATGTGGCAGCATTTCTGTGTATACACGGTTAGTGTGCACATGGCAGTATATGTGGCTACATACAAACATTATCCCCCCAATTTTAGGAAAATGCTTGGTGACTCTACATGTATTCTGGCTGCCAGTACAACACTGTAACGAAATTGCAATATAGGAGTTAGCTCTCAACTTGTAGATTATGATAAACTATTTGCTACCTCAGTAATAAAAATGCATTAATACTTTAACTGCCATAATCAGTACAAATTTGCAGGTTCACATAGATATTCTCAGGGTGTGACAAGAAGTCTTCATTTTGACTCCAATCTTCTGATTAATGGTCAGATTTGGAGAGTCACAAAAGTCTGAAGCAGATTGGTTTATATTCCATATTCCAAGTGTGTCTCCAATTATTTTTTTTTGTTCTCTTGGTTTGTCACAAGACGTTTCAGCCACCCTAGAGGTAGAGTTGGAAAATCGAACTCCCAATTCATTCAAAGTTGTGTGAACCACGGAAAAGTGAGAACATGTGACCACACTGGAGACGGTATGCAGTCAAAACACTGAACCCTGCTCTGATTAGACAACTGAATCTACCAATACTCCCAGTTTGCTACAATTTGGTCAATATTTTGAGAGATGTCTCCTTTAGCTTATTTAGAAAAGTCCCCAGGCATTCTTAATACATGCTAATCTCATATTGGTTTACGGGAAGCAGGTTTGAGGGACAGTATCAAAGTGTAAAAGGGTAAAAAGTAATTGATACGAGGAATAGCAACAATTGTTCTGTTCATAAGAAAATCAGTACAACCAACCTTTTATTTATGTATTTGGAATTATATCCCTGAATTGTAAAAACAATCCCAATTTAACAGGAACACAAACCTAAAACATAACATCAAGGTCACCTTTATACGTGCTAAACATGGATACTCAAGAGTAGGCTAAAAACACTGTTTAAATAAGTGCTGAGCAATAAATCTTCAGCCCATAAGAGTTTCACCATAATGTGTACAGTGATAGCTCTGCATCACTGAATCTCCGCATTCACAGTCCTAATGGCAGAACCAGATGCTGCAAAATACTTGTTTTCTCACATAAATTAACTTTATGGAACAAACTTGTTTTGTAAAAGAGAGTAAGGGTCTGAATTTTTATTATTTAAAGTCCTAGTTACCGGTTTAGCTTGATAGAGAAAGAGTTTGTCGAAACTAAATATACATATGAATATGTTAACAAGTTACACGCAAAAAAAAAAACCCAAACAATAAAATAAGCACACCATTATAAATGTCTCAGAAGATTTTTTTTTATTAAACTTTCAGTGTTTGTGAAACATCTAATGAACCAATACCTAACTTTACCATTTAAACTTTTCTAACTTGATTGCGTTATAATCGATCAACACATTTGTAATGATCATATATACTATGACACAAACTATGAAAAAAAAAAAATCCCAATATTACCTTCTGCTTGTGAAGATTCTTCAGATTTGTCATCATCATCCAACTTCTCCTCATCTTCCTCTGAGCCCTTTTCAGAAATGGATTTTGGATCAACATCTGGGATCATTTCAGCATTCTTAATGTCATTCTTAACTTCTTCGTTGACAAGATGCTCAGCGTCACACTCCTGTTTCACTTTGTCATCAACTGCATCCATTGTTTCTTCTTTAACTTCAGTTTCTTCTTTAATGTCAAGATCTTCGACCTGTTCAGATTTTACTTCTTCATGCTCTCCTGCTTTGTCATCCTGGATTGGAGTAGATGGCATTATAGGTGGTGTGTCACTGTAGCTAGAACCTGGTGGCATAAGGATGGGTATGTTGCTTGGTGGAGCAGAACCCCTATTTTGAGCAAAGTTTCTGTGCGCTTCTAGGAAAGATAATTCTGGATCATTGAGGATGTGGTAATCTGTTCTACTGACTCCATGTTTTGCAGCTCCAATGAGCAAGTCTCTGTCATGTTTTCCACTCTCCCACCACTCAGGTAGGTCCAAGCTTGGCTGACACAGTTTAAGCCGGTCATTTAACTGAGGATGATTTAGAACCTGTTCCCGTATTTTCCTAAGAAGTTCAATGCGGTAAAGTGTTCTTGAAGCACGTTCCTCAGTGATAGGCTCGATCATTGAAGAAAGATCACAAAAATCTGTAGAAGCTAAATCAAAAAGAAAGATGCCAAGGTTAGCAGCCCACAAGAAAGGAAATGGTTTGTTTTGTCAGTTTTCAAGTCGCTAAAAAGATTATGCAAACATTAATATGCCAGGACACTCACCTTCATCAGCCTTAGTGGACATATGACATACTCTCCTGCACATGGCTATAAAGCAGTTGAAGTATTTTTCCAAACTCTCATCAGATTTTTTATCCAGTCTCGCATAAGCTCGAAATTGATTCCAATCAAACTTTTGTTTGGCTGTGTCAACAATTACTCCAAATGTAGATACAACGCGATAAAAGTCTGCTTCCTCCCTCCTCGTCCATCTTAAGAAGAATAGATTTACATTAACATTTATGTGTACAAGAGTTTGTATTTAAAAAAAAAAAAAAAAAGGTATAGTTATAAAGAAGTTCTATGACTTACTTTTGGCGTTTTTCAGTTATGATTGCTTCCCTTTCAGCTTCCAAGGCTCGTACTTCTTCCCGAGGACGTCTCCTCCTACGGTCAGTCTTCATTTGTGCTTCTTGCCTCATCTGCTGCCTCTTATAGCTACGTTGATAGGCAGTTATGAGACGCCGTAGGCGGGTGGTTAGAGCTGAAGTATTCGGCCAGTATAACTGCCCTGATTCCATACTTCCTTCACCATGTTTTCCTGTAGGAAAAGCAGAATAATCTGTAATGCCTCATACTGGTGGTTTACCATTCTGTACACAATTACTCTACAACGGCAATAAGGACACAACAGTTATAGTGGAACAGTCATCAGCAAAATGAAATTGAAAGATTGAGAGAAAAGAAAGGAAAAAAAAATGTGAGAAAATAAGGACCATCTCAGCTAAATTATAAAATTAAATGTATACACTCTGTTTGCGATCCTGTCCTTAAACATGTACATTGATGGACAGGTTTGCCATAAAAAAAGTCTGAGGGGGAGAAGGTAAAGATAAAGGAGAAGTCAGAAGCATATTATTATCACTTGCTAGAGAAAATAAAATTGCCAGTCATCTTGCCAAATTTAAATTACTTTACTAGTCATTATTCATATCCATCATCAAGCAACCAGTCTGTTTTCAGTTTAGATTTTTTGTTTTTCAGCAGCAACATCCAGAAGGAAATAAATCCCTTGATGCCTTAGTATTAGCATGGATACTCATCACTAAACAGGCCAGTGGTGCTTCATAGAACAAAATCAAGTATTTGAGCCCCTCTTACCTCGAGCATCCAACTCCAGGCATTCGTCTTTGTCCTCAAGAGGAGAGTTCACATATTCCTGTAGCAGAAAAAAAAAAAAAAAAAAGCATAGCCACAGATTTAGGTAAAGGATTGGATTTTAATGTTACTCATCTGGTGATCTGTTTTCATTCAAATATGTCAAAATATTTTATAAGCATTGTGATCCAAAAGCAAGCATATGTCAACAGTATATTTCACAAGTTCCGATCAACTTTAGCATTCTTACATCAATGTCATCTTTAAATGGGAGCCTTGCAGGTTTGTATTCTGGATCTTCATCCTCCCTGTCATAGTCACCCCTGAAATAAAATACAAAAGTAACTTCTATTGCCTGGGTGGAGGTGGTGGGCTCATTGTGGGGGATAAAGTCTTAAGTGTAATAAATATTGCCCAGGTTGAAACGTACCCATCTCCACCATCTGCCAACATATCTGTTCCTCGTTGTTCAGCAGCAATTGCTTTCGCATCAGGCATACCAACCCTCTCTAAGAAGCACAATGCTGGGTCTGCTCTCATCGAATTGTACTTCTCATATCCTGCGGAATAAGATTACAGATGTCACAATCAAGGATGATGGAAAGGCAAAAACATTAACTTGGGATCAATTTACGTCATGCCCCTGGTTTCTTTAACATCTTCAGAGCTGCTGTCGTCAGACTTTTTTCTAACCAGCATGGCAAGGCAAGGGAACAGGATATTGTGCAATACATAAAAAAAAAGCTCTGAATATATGCTCAAATGGATATATAAGACTTGTCTATAAAATGTAAAAGTTTGGTCACTATACCCTTTACCCAATAAAGCGAGCTGGGGAAAAAAAACCTTGGCATTATATAAAGTATATACACATTATTCAATAAAATTACATATCTATCTCTCTATCAGATATAACACACCTTTCTCCATTCTAATCAGTGATTGTACTAGATTTCCCTATTGTACTGCAGCCTCATTTTAATCTGGACAAACAGAATTGTTGTTCTTTAAATGTCCCCATTAATCCCTCACACAGCATTCCCTTCCCCCGGCTCCACTGTTTGTATTCTTTAGGCCTTGCCTGATTCCTAAATTTTTAACTGCTTTCTCCCTCCCCCACTTTCCTTTCCTATGCCCACTCAATGAACGTTGAGTTATACGAAAGGCCATCAAACCGGTCTTATAGGTTTTGTGTGATGTGCGTCAGTAAGATGACACTGCTCCCACTACGGTTTTAAAAGTTGTTTTGCTTTTTACCCCGAATGAGCTGACTAGATACAAAATGGCAGATCCCAAATGTGCACTGCAGGACAACATTTTTTTTCAGATCAGTCTTGCCTCATCTTAAAGCCCCTCCTCCCATCCATTGAAATAAAAAAATAAAAATGTAAAAAAATTGGGTAAAAAGGCAAATAAAATCCTGTACACAGGCAGAACAGCACAATTCAATTAGGATTTGTACTACAACACACTTCTCCTAACTGCTGTAGAGCCTGAAGCCAAACTGCAATCATGAAAGGTTTTATAAGCCATCATTCTCCCCTTTAGTCAGGCCATGCGGCTGAGACTACGCCTGCGACCTCCAGAGAATTGGGATTATAATCAGGAATCGCTCACTGTATATATCATGCCAGCTCTGCATCCCCGAGCCTTTCAAAGTTAACAAGGCTGCATCCCACTCAAGGGAGCTGGGAGATCTCGGCGCTGACATTTGTGAAATATTGCTTGGAACAAAGCCCAGGAGACACTTGTACAGATTAATAGCAGAGGTTAAGCCCACCATCCACTTTGACACTGGCTGGCAGAGAGTTAGCAAGTGAAGCGGCGCTGTAAGCAAAGTTTATGGAGATCTATAACACTGTTTGGTGATTACTACTGCACATATGGCTCGGCTTTATTTATAGGCATGTAGAATTAGAGATTTTGCTTTTTTCTTTAAATACCTACTTTTTAGAAAATGGGTTTGACTAGTACCTTAAGAGTACTTTCTATATAGTCTTCCATACATTATACAGAGATTGAATACTTAGAAATGTAAGTAGATAAAAGCAGGTCTACACAAACGTCACTTAATTACAAATAAAGAACGCCGTTCCTTTATCTCAAGCTCAGGAAAATTAGCTGCAGGTGAATTCACAAAAATGTTATTACGATGCACGCAATATTTGTCGCTTTAAGAAGTAAAAAAACAAAAAAAACATTGCACATACCCTTGCTTTGCCAAACCATCCAGAATATATATAGTTAATACAATGGTTAAACAAAAATCTGCACCCCAGTCAAGCTATCAGACTCTTTTCCCACAGAAATTACAAACCTCATGTGATGTTACTACCGCAAAGGATTCTGGGTGGGCATATGCAAATTAGTTTAACAGAGAATCACATTTTTTCCTCATTATATAGCCCTTATAGTAGTTCCAATGAAAAATTTAATGTCCCCAGTTTTGAGGCAGCATTCATAGACTGAGTTCACTGGGCTAACCAGCCCCTTGTACGACCAACACATCATCAGGAAATGTTCACTTATACATAAGGTAATTCAAATTCACAAGCCAAGAGCGCCCCCTTCTTTGGGGGGTGGCAATATGCAATTTGCCACAAAACCATTACCTAGGAATTTAGTAATTATGGTTCTTAGTGTCCCTTTAAAAGTGAAAAACAAAATCAGGCTAATGCAGCTCAGCAATATTAACAAAAATAAATAAATGATGACTTCACATCTTACAGGAATATCCAACAGCATACAAAAAGGGGGCTCAAAATTTCCAACCGCCACAAGCCAAAAGGGAGTAAAAATCTAGCTCTAGCAACTAGAAATTCATCCACGGTTAGTGTGCCAGGCTTGTAGGCCTAGTTATTAGCATAGGACTTGAAATTGTAAGCCATGCAATAGGAATAGCTTACCATGTTTGAAGACTCCAACCAAAAGGGATTTATCTGCTTCGTTGTCCCACCAATCTGTGGGTACTTCTGCATGGAATGGCTCAGGAATCCACACATCTAATTCACTGAAATAGGAAAGGGATAACTATCAATGTACATAGTGTCTTAACTATTCCAACCTGATGAGAGTTTGTCAAAAGGACATAGTGACTAGAATTCTCAGGTAAAAGTATTCTTAAGAGACACCGATATACAGAAGTGTTCAACAATATGAAGCTTTTATGAACTCTAAACACTCTTCTAATCTAAGGCACAATAAAGAACTGCCCTATTGCAATCGTTTTAATTGAAATTAATATTTTTTTTTCAATTTATTTATTTTTGTATTATTAAAGCAAATTGTACACTTTTCAGCAATTTAAGCTATTCAACCAACGTTGTTCGTTGTGCTATTTTAATATAAATATTTTGCTTTTTGACATTTGTCCAATGATTTTATATATGTGTATAGCACCACACGGTGAAGAGGATAAAATAGGAATGCATTAAAGGCAAAAAAATAAAAATAAAATTGATGTAAATTTGGTTGAGAAATGTATATATTTATCTGAAATTTAATAACAGACGTGTAATATTAGACAAGAGTTAAATAGATAATAGAAGGATAATATAAAAAAAAAAATGAAAAAAAGAAAGGTTCAGGAAAGCTAGCATCAAAACATAATTAGTAACAGCAGGTAAAGACCTAGCTTTTCACAGACAAGGACAAACCAAACATTCACTAACCTTGAGTCAGCACCCTCCAAGATTTTGTCAGCTTGGTCTCCTATCACTTCTTGCCTCAGATAGTACAGCATGCGGACACGCAGCAGGACCCTGGAGAGGAAGAGAGGAAGAGAGGAGAGGGGGTGAGGGGAGAAGTTCTTAACTTCAGGATTGTTTGCCAACACTGGCTTTTGGCAGCTGCTGCTGTTCATCCATCATCCTGCCAAGGCTGATTAGCCATGCTGTATGGTAGGCTTGAAGCATGACAGATGGTGGCATATAATCACCTCTGTGTGGTGCTTTCTGCTGGCTTCCAACGGGACTGCCTGGCAACCGATCACGCTGCACAGGGAGGGAGCAGGCTGGGCCCAGCCCAGGCGTATTACATTTAGTCTTACCTAGTGCAGTTTGTGAAGTTTAGACACGTACTGCACCGCTGCCTCTGAAGTACTGGAGCAAGTTTGTAAACAACTGAGCAGATGGCTTTCAGTAACTGTTCTGCTTCATTATCTCATAAAATTTCCTCAGCTGCTGCCTTAATACCATTTTTGGAAGCACATCAGAAGTTGCAAGGATAAACGAGATCTATAATCTTTTTTTTTTTTTTTGAGTGTGTGCGCTTTTTTGTTTTTTTTTTTTTAACCACTGAACCACTGAACAATAAACCTTTACAATGAGATGGTGTTTTTTATTTTTCAGATAAAACTTTTTTTTTTGTTAGAAAGACTATAATTGGTTTAACACTATAGTAATAAAGTGGTGGCAAAAGCTTTCCTTTTTGTAGTTTAACAAAACGTAAAAAAAATATATATAAAATAAAAATCAATGGAGCACTATGCAAAAGTTTTTTTGAAGAACAAGCATTAAGTTGTTCCTTGAATACCAGAACAAAAATACAAGATGACATTTAAAAAAAAATATATATATATACCTACATAAACGAAAGTTTGAATCGTTGCCACATAAGCTAAAAACTTTCTATTTGCCCTCTGATTGACATAGAAAATCATATAAACAGTACAGGTGACAGATTTCATTATGGGATGCCTAATCAGAGTGTGCAGATTGATTGACAGTTCAACTCTGTACACACCCTAGGGCACAAGAGTGGCATTTACTTACACAAAATATAATGTTGCAATTCCTTTTCAATGTAGACCATTTAATGGATTCAATAGGCGTTCTTATTGATTACTCCCCATTATGCCATATATCTTATCATTTATATGAACCTTTCAGAGCCACTCTGATCACCACTAAATAATAATTAATATAAGTCAATGTATGCGAAAAAGAACATTTT